GACAAAGGACAATATGTACTGCAAATTGGTAGGATGACCACCAAACTTTAGGCTGTTTTTACTTCTTCAGTTAGTCCTTTTTGGTTCTATGGAGTCACTTTTGAGTTTTAAAGAAGGCTTTACAGAGGGAGGAGAGATACACAGAGGTTGCTTACAATGATCAAAAGCAGTGGGCTATCTTTTGCTTGCTATTAATTTATACTGTAATAGGAAGCCTCTACAGAGCTTTCACAACATGACAAGAAAACAAGCTTTTGACATAAGGGCATTCTGCTTAATTTTGTATTATAATTCTTAATGTGTATAGGTTTCTTAAGTATCACAAACAATGACAGTATATCTTTAGAAAAATAGCAGATCTAATAAATTAACAGGTACAAGACAAATGCACTCTAGAATGAGAGAACACAAATATTGAGCTTAAAGATGGTATTGTACTCTAGCTTGCTGCCCGCATCATTCCTGCAATTAACTCCTCTGTTTAGTAGACATTCCATTTTCTAAATGTAAAAGCACTCAAAAGCCACCAACCTTCTCTGGAACATCAAGTAGCATACTAAGGAAAATCATAGGCCACATTATCAGCATTATGAATACTAATATCTCAAATATGTAGTAAATCTGAAGTATGCAGACTTTATTTGGTCAAAAATGTATATTTTTACAGGTAAGTTCTTTTTTATTCTGACTTAAATGCTTAATTATTTTCCCTTAAAACCAGAAACTGCAAATCCTGAAAACTCTGGATATAACAGTTGTCCTATAGAGGATGTTAGCATGGTAGTTCATTTTAGTACTTCACCATATCTCAGGAAGTGTCTTTCCATTGAAAAGTTATCCCTGCTTCTCCTCCCTTTCAAAATGATTTAGTGATCACCAAAAGGGATGAAAGGTCAAGGCCAGATGCATCAAATTCTGTTAAGGATTCAATGTGTATGGACATACATACACAGACCAGGCTCTCACTTTTGGGAACATCTGAAAAAGCAAAGAAAGCCAAAAACTTCATCTATTTGGGAAAGGTGATTGAGAAAGGGTCATTGTCAGTATAGTTGAAATAGAATTTCTGTGTACTAAAGTAAGGCTCAAATAGAATTTCAGGGCACTCAGGTTAGTTGTATACAAACAAAGTGGGTATTTGGAGCACTTAAGCCAAAGAAACAATCTAAAATAACCATGGGCAAAGCTGCAGGAGTTGGGAGTGGGTATGAAGAGGTATTTAAATGATTTGAACCATTTAATTAACTTCTTTCTACAAATGATCTGTTAGCACTGTTTTAAAAACTTGATTACCAAAATAATATGTTCAGGTTTTCTTTTGTAGTGTTAAAAAGAAAGGAATTTCAGCCTAACTTCAAATACCTTTTTGCCTGATGATTTAACAAATCAAGGTCTGGGCCACTAAAACACCACTTTGAATCTTCCCCACAAATGCAGTGTGAATGCCAAACAGTTGTTTTTATATTTTCTGGCTAAGACATTACTTCATATTTTTCTCTAAAATACCTTTTGCATTGTTCAGAGGAAGTTTGCACTACTGTTAGAACTATAAAGTTCTTTTTTAAAAACGGTATTAAGCCATTAAAAAGATGGAGGTCCTATTTTTTTAAGTTCTTTAGTCAAATTATAGGCAGGTATTTTGGACTTAGCTGAATAATAATAGCCTAAATTAGGTCAAAGTAAAATAAATGATTATGGGAGGCAGAAAGAACTGGAAAGTATTCCATAGTCCCACTTAAGTACAAAGATATAACTTGGGGAATTTACATTCTCTTTAAAATTTGTCATTGAAAAACAGTGATTTTGAATTTAGAATCTTTCCTACATCTTTGTACTTCACTGGAGTTAAAGTTAGGAGTGAAGGATATACTTAAGCACTGGTCACTTTCTAATACAGTTTGTACTGTATAATATATTTACCTTAATATCAAGGAGACTGACTCAAATGAATCCAAGGTTTTTAAAAGTTAAAGCCAGCTATAATGGAAACAAACCACAGAATACTTTTTAAAAATCAATTAGTACATGATTCTTATAATTATATATTTTTTTACTTTGTGGTACGTTCCTTACTTTACATTTAAATATGCCAGTAGGTATCTGTAATGGCAATTTCATTTATACATCTATGATTTTATATATAATACATATTTTTGTAATGTCTTGTTTCTATTATTTAGAATATTTGAGTTTATTAACTAGCTCTGTGCCTTTGAACAAATCCTCTGGACGCTTTTCCCCTTTTATAAGGTTTGACTATAATTGCTCTTCTCTAAGGTTCTATTTTAGCTTTTAAGCTTGTAAATGTACTCTCAAGTTGGCTTATACCTTCTCTGGGGTTAGAGGACATACTTAAGTATTTTGATATTAAATACATTTTTTTTGGCATTGCTGGGGGTGGAGCTCAGAGCCTTAAACATGGTAGGTAAGCAAGCAGTCTACCACTGGCCATATCCCCAGCCCCAAGTATGTTTTTTTTTTAGCTGATCCAGAAAGTTAAGAAGTGAATGCAAAACTCTTTCCCCTTCTACTTTCTACAAGTTAGAGTTAATAAAAATGTTGTCACCAAGATGGAAGTTAGGGCAATAGCTGTTTAGCCTAACTCCCATCATAAATGAGGTTTCAAGGTAACTAGTGAAGTCCTAAGCCTGTCACAAGGACAATAAGAAGATTTGGAAAGGCATATACTCCCATGAAATATGACACTCGTTTCAATAGTCAAGGTTGGTTACTGTGATTATATTTATTCTCTCTCTAGAATATAAACTGAGAAAAGTCATATTTTAGTGCATGACTCCATGTTTGACTACTCTGTTTTCTGATGATAAAATAACCGCTAGAATGATTATGCCTCGTTTATCAGACATACATATATTTGTGAAAAAGACATGTTTTTCTTTGATGAAATTGGGTTATATATTGTTTTTGGTTTTGTTCTTTAGTGCCATCAGTATGAGTTAGGAATGTGGTCTGGGTTCTGTTATTCAAATTAATTTGACTGGAAAGTTGAAGCTTTGAGGGGGGGCATGCTGGGAATTGACCTCAGGACACTCAACCACTGAGCCACACCCCCAGCCTTATTTTGTATTTTATTCAGAGACAGTGTCTCACTCAGTTGCTTAAGGCCTCACTGTTGTTGAGGCTGGCTTTGAACTTGTGATCCTCCTGCTTCAGCCTCCTGAGCCACTAGGATTTGCAGGTGTGTACCACTGTGCCTCACTAGGAAAGTTGAATCTTTAACTTTAGAAATCTTTCTTTTGGAAATTAACCTGTTTTGTTTTTCTTTTTGAAAGTAGCCTGTTTTAAAACATGTCAGAGCCATTTATGATAATCCTACTTAGTGAAGCAGGGGAGAAGTTAGATTTGAATAAATGACCACTTCAGATATGATCAAGGAATTATTTTGAGACAACCCTTTGCCAAATGGGTCTTGACACAGCTTGATCTCATTTCCTTGAATCTGAGTTTTACTCTTCAGCATCTCCTCTTGCTGCCCTAGCTCCCTAATTTAACTCTTTTCCATGTGAAACAGTTTAACCATCACTCCCAATGCTTGGGAAAGCAATGGAAATCAATTTGAACAACAGAAACAATACTGTTAAAAGCTAGTTTGGAGAAATATTTTCATTATTTGAAAATTCCTTATTTAATTACTTTAACCAGAAGTTACATACAGGAATTTAGATGGATTCCTATTGGTATTGACATTTAAAAGCATAGGGTGACAACTAACCTGTCTTTTCTAGGCTATGCATTCTTAATTTAATCTCCAGGAGCACTTTTTTGAAGACAGTAGAATTTGGTTCATGTTCACAGGTCCATGGATCTGCTAGGGTTGTTATGTTTTATATCTAACATAAGTTTACACATGCACTTCTGCTGCCCCCAATGAATATTAAAACTACAACCTGAATTAGATTATCTAGATGTGAAATTGTTTTGTTGATTTTTTTTCCCAGAAAGTAATTAATTAACATGAAGATGGGTTTTTTTTTTTTCAGATTTCAATACCTCAGCAAGATGTCATTGTTCTGATAAAAAATATTTTAAATCCAGGCTTTTATCTTAGAAATGCCTTGATAGCAATGATAATTAAAACTATCAACAGTAGATAGGACCCTATAAATATATCAGCTAATTATTTTTTCTTGCCAATGTATGAGATGTAATGATAATTGGTTAGAGTGCAGTAGAAGTTTTTAAAAAACAGTATACATCCTAAATACTAATTTCAATACTATCAAATTTTAAAATGCAGTAAGTTAACTGAAATACACAAACACAGGAATTTGCCTAACTTATTAGATATGACATATACTATAGGGTAAATATCTCATTGGCACACATTAAGAAACTAACACATCTTTAAGAAACAAAAACTCAACAGCCCCCACAATTGAGAAGTTGTGTTTCAAAACAAAACAAAAAGGCCAGTTATACCTAGAAACCACAAGCTGACAATTCTTTGGAGTCTGTTCAGCCTCCCTTTGATGCTGTTCATTGAACCAGCATGGGCAGCGTGTAGCACTGAAGGGTAACAAAGATAGGCAGGTTGGTTTGCCTTATCTGATAGCTGGTGGGGACTGCTGACCACATCCCTCAGCCCTGTGGGGAGATGGCATGAGATCCTGAGGAAGGTCAGGAATCTGTGTGGCAGCAACAGTAGCAAAGTGGCACCTGTAGCTTCAAGGAAGCAAGGGTAAGAAAACGAAAGCAAAGCAAAAGGGTTAAGCACCCGACTGCACCTCTGCTGATTAGGGGCAATACCCCTTCAGTTGGTTGTGAGATGGACTTAGTGTTAATAGGTATAAAAAGGCAAATAATAGTAATAATAAAACAAGAACAAAAAATGGGGAATGTGGCTATGAAAAGTGAGAATAATAGGAGTTTCACTCTCCTTTCTAGGGGGGCAGTGAGGGAGTCATATTCTATGTCACCTCTGAGAATAAGGAAATTACAAATTTCGTTTTGAGTTCCAGAACAGGTGATAGGGACTTGACTTAGAGCCGAGTTGTAACTTGTTCTTCCTGTCCATCACCCCATTTGTGCATGAGCAAGTCACAGGCCTCTCCCCAAGTTTCAAATACATCCTCGGAGGAGTCTAAAAGTTTAGAATTTGAGGAGCAGATGCTGGATGCACAGTGAAGAGAGCTGGAACAGGCTAGAGGGCATTCACTGCTCTGAGCAGCACCCCGGACTTCACCTAATTCTACCTCACTGAGGTTAATTTCACTTTGAGAACAGGCTTCTGCTTTCCCTTTCTCCATCTGAGAATATCTGATGTCCTGCCACATATAATGCTGCTGGACGATTCCATCAGAAATTGTGTACATTGGCTCTGAACTGGGTTCAGACATATGACCATTAAACTTTGAGAAAAGAAGACCCAGTTTCTTGAGAGAAGGACCCATGAAGGAGCGTTTGCTTGATGACTCAGCTTTTGACTTCCCCTGGGAACCGCTGGCTCTTGGCATGGTTCTGATGAGAGGTGGCCCATGGCAGGCCTTTTTCTTGCAGCCTAAATTGAATGAGACGCTCTTGGATTTGGCCCGAGCCCCACCACAGCCATCATTGGTGTCATCCCTCTGAGAGAATTCAGTGCTGCTTGTGGAAAAGCTTCTCCTTGGGTGTTTTCTGTTTCCTAAGAGGTCAAGCACTTCATATCTGAAGCTGGAGATGTCCTGCTTTAATTCCTAGGGAAAGAGGGGAGACATGTATGTCAAAAAGCTTGAACTTTAGTTCAAAATGAGCACATTGAATACCCTTTGGAATATTCTAGGTCTTGCCTAGTAGCAAACCACAAAGTACACATAATACCAGAAAAAAAAATTTATATTATTCAAGCCCAAGAAAAACAAATTAGTTTGAAAGATTGTGTAGTGAGTAAAGTTGATTTCAGAACCTCCCCATCAGGTGCACATCAACAGACTAATAGTGTTAACTGACAAGGTATTAGATTAGGGCACTGGCTTTCACAGGTTATTGCATAGAAAAGGACCATTGGAGAAGAAAAAGCTATTATGATTCCAAGGAATGAAATCAGAGAAATGAAATGTCAGGTGATGGGACTGCTGTTTTGAGATAGGGGTCCCTGTCCATTCAAGTCCTCTCCTTAACTGGCTGCTTAGATGTTAGGTTGTTTCTTTAAAAGCCATCTTTGAAAGCTTAAATCTGATCATGTTATCCTGCTGCTTAAAAAGTGTGAGTAACTTACCACTGACCTTAGGAAAAAGTAGAAATGCCATTTCATGCCTACAGGATTTTTCAAGTCCTAGTACCTGTCAATCTTTGCAGTCTCATTTCTTCTTCCCCAAGCTTTCTACTGTTCACCCATATGAACATATTCTCTCCTGCCTCTGGGCCATTATCTATGCCATTCTGTCTTGAACACTTCTCAGCTCCCCTTTATCTAGTTCCTCCTGCAACACTCAGCTTAAACATCATTTGCTCTGGAAAAACCTATCCTGACTCCCAAAGTCCAATCGAGTATCCCTCCTCTCTGTTTCTACGGTGCCCTGTGTTTACCCTGTCAGAACCCTCAATCTTTTATCACTTTACATTATTATTGTTTGTCACTCCATGAAACTAGGTATGAGTTAGATCTTGCTCACCAGTGTACCCCAGCACTTAGTAGAGTGCTTGGCACATAGTGGGCTCTCAACAGATGACTTATGTCTATGGATTATGATAATAGCCTTTCTGTATGACCTAGGAAAAATTATATAACATATATATGTGTATATAACGTATATATGTTTTAGGATAGGGTTTCTCAACCTTGTCTCTATTGACATGTTGGGCAGGATAATTCTTTGTTGTGGCAGGCTATCTTGTTTATAGTAGGATGTTTAGTAGCAACCTTATCTCTATCCACTAGATGTCAGTATAACAACAAAAAAATATCTACAGACTGCAACATGTGCCCTGGGGGACAAAAGAGGATCACTGTTTTAGGCTAGTTCTGATAGGAAAATTTTTGTGCTTAATGGTAGAGTTTCTTAAGGCTTTAGATTTCATAATAGAGTTTTTGACCTTTATATGTATTTGGCAAAGAAGGCCTTTTAAGTCTCCCGGTATTTTGCCACATCATTTGAAGTAATGCAATTGCCACACCAAGAAACACCCAGATTATTAAAAGAGTGCATAGAACAGATTTCTTTTGTTCATAAAACTGACTGGTGTGAGAGACATTGTTAAAATCTCTCACACTTATTCTCTTAGAATAAGAACTGTAGCTGGTTTTGCTGTGTTGTAGGCAGGGGAAATTCCACCACCAGAATCTTAAAGACTGGAGATCAAATGATACTTAAGAAATGAGAAATTAAACCACTTCATGATTAAATTACCTTAAAATTTTCTTCTGTTAGCCCCTCATTTGTTTTGGAATTTCTTATCATAGCAGCCACATATCTTTTGACTAAATTCCTGATAACTTCCTGGAATTAAAAAAAAAATGAGGCATTCAGTTTCTTTCTCAGGCTCTCAGAAATAAAATAAGAAACCTACATAGAAAATAGAACATTCTTAGACCATCTTTACAAACAAAATCCTCACAGGACCCAGACATTTTCTGCAAGAAAAAAATGAATTAAGTCTATTGGCTAAATTAATTATTGAATATCTGAATTTGATAGCAGATTGTGCCAGTAAAGTCAAATTCACCTCCAAAGGAAGAATTTCTACTCAAGTGTTAGGTAAACATGTATTTATATTTATACAATAATGAGAGTAGAATAATCCTCGAGTGCTTACAGTCAGTATCTTTTCCCTTCAGGATGGATTAAACTTTAATACTCCTAGTAACACGTACTTTTTTTTTTCCCTCTCTCTCTATAAAGTTGAGAGTCACTAAGTCTGCTACACAGGCAACATATTTTTCTTAGAGCCAGCCAATACTTCTTTACAGGGATGGCCTCTTTTTAGCCTCCAGGGGAATGGCACACACATAGTATGGCTTATATTAGTGATGGTGACAAGGATAGGCCACTTATTGTAATGTATCAGACACTATGCCAACCAACACCCCCCCACACACACCACTAAACATTCACAACACAATTTTTTATAATTATTCCCATTTTACATGAGGAAACTGAGGCTCAGTGACATTAACTGATGCCTCCAAGAACACACGACTAGTGAATGTCAAAATAAGAATTCAATTCTACTTCAAGCTGATTTCAAGGCCTATAGTAATAAACAGCCGATGCTACACTTACTACTTCTGCTACTCTGAGAACTTAAATAACTCATTGAGAAGCCCAGCAACTGATTCTTTTTTTGGTGAGGACTATGAAACATAAAATGAAGGCAATGAATCTTGCCTAAGATTCATTGTGAAAATAATAAGGGCTGGAGGCAGGATTAGTGAGAGAAAGGTTACCTACCATATTCTGTATTTTCTATTTCTCTTAGTTTTGCTTAAAGGGAACAAAGTTAGGGAATTGACTTTCTAGAATAAGACTGAATTTGCTTTAAGCCTGGCAGAACATTTTTCTACTTGGCGTTTCTGTTAATTAGGAAGGCGAGAGAGTGTTCTCTTTCTTGTGATCGGCAATAACTACTCTCAAGGGATATCTCACATATTTGGATGCTTGTTTATCTTCTGGCTGCTGAGATAGAAGTGTTTATATGTTTCTTTCATTAAAATTGTATTGGAATTTAGAAAGACCTAAGTTCCTGACATGCACATAAGCTTTTACTTTATTGAGGTTAGTTTTGTCCTGTACTATCTTCCTTATTTATTATATATTCCCATTACTCTGTGCCTTTTGTTCACATAATGATTTATTTAATGTATTTAATTCTGGCTAGATAAGAGTAGAAAGCTTATGTCCTCAGTGGTATCTCCAGTGTCTAGCTTAATGTCTGATGTATAGTAGGTCTCAGATGTTTGTTGACTGACTGAACAGCCACATATCCTATTTTACTTAATCTCAAGGATAGCTTTCTTTTTTTAATTAATTAATTAATATGTTTGTTCTAATTTGTTATACATGACAGCAGAATGCATTTTGATTAAGTATAGCTTTCTATACTATGGACCTTGCTGATCCAGCTGTTAAAGGGCTTGGAATCCACTCTAAAGAGTGACTTAACCTTTTCCAAGCCTCCTACTCTCATCAAATCCAGTCATAGCCGGAGTGAAGTTTGCTTTTAGTTCACAGAACTGGCCAGGAACTATTGTGTTTAGTCCCCATGAAGAAGCATTACCTGATAGTGTTGATTTTGTATCAGGCTGTCAGCATGGCGTTCCTGTAATTGAAAATGGACAGAGAAGTTACATCAACAGTCTCCCAGCACCTAATCCACCCACCCATCTGAATATATATTCTATATATTAGAACTGGAGAATGACATTGCATCACTTCCCTGACAAATCTCCAAAAGATAAGTTGAAGTGATTTTATGATGTTTAAGATGGACAGTATCACACAGGAGGAAAGGGAGAAAATAGTTTTGTTTAAAAAGAAATAGATTTTAAAAGTCTTACTGTGAAGCTTCTCAAGTTGTGTCTTCTTCGTCTACCATCAGGGTCTCTTTTGGGGCAGAAGGTATTGTTGAACCAGTTACCAAGATAGAGAAATGATTTGGGGCTGGGGATGATGTTAAAAGGAGGTGGTAAGGTGCCACCTTCATCAAAGTAACTCATCCAGAGCTTTGTCCTTGCAAACTTCCACTCAATATCAGCATGATCCTATGAAAGACAGAAGGTCAAGGTTTTGAGATGGGAAACTGCAAAATGTGCCCACGTCTTATCCTACACATTTTACTTGCTTCTATAAAGGGCAATCTGTCAGTAGCTATATAATTAAAATTGCATATACCTTGTAAATCCAAATTACAGATATTTAGTAATCTAACACTCAAAGATATATCTTACCACAACTGGGAGCAGTGGTGCACACCTACAATGCCAGTGATTTAGGAGGCTGAGGCAGAAGTATCACAAGTTTGAGGTCAGCCTCAGCAACTTAGTGAGACCCTGTCTTAAAAAATGAAAAAGAACTGGGGGTATAGCTCAATAGTAAAGCACCCCTGGCTTCAATCCCCAGCATTATTATTATTATTATTATTATTATTCATTCTTCTTCTTCTTCTTCTTCTTCTTCTTCTTCTTCTTCTTCTTCTTCTTCTTCTTCTTCTTCTTTTTCTACTACTACTAGTAGAAATTAAGTCCTACATTATCTAGATTATCCTACATTATCTAGATGGGCCTAATATAATAACAGAAGTGAAAGAGGGAGACAAGAGAGTCAGTGTCCAGAGTAATACAATGTAAGAAAGACATAGCCATTACTGGCTTTAAGATGAAAATGGACCATAGTCCAAGGAATGTAGGCAGCCTCTAGAGAGTGAAAAAGACATGAAAATGGGTTCTCTGCTACAGCTTTTGGAAAGTTCAACCAATACCCTGATTTTAGTCCATTGAGACCCATTTCAGACATCTGACACCAAAAACTATGAAGTAATAAATTTGCATTGTTTCAAACCCACCGCATTCATGGGAATTTGTTACAACACTAATAGGGAACTAATAGTTGTGTATAAAATAACAGAGATCATCTTTTTTTGTGGTGCTGGGGATTGAACCCAGGACCTTGTATATATGAGGCAAGCACTCTACCAGCTGAGCTATATCCCCAGCCCAGAGAGATCAGAGATCATCTTTTGAAGGCAGAGAGAATATATTTTATCAGATACTAAATTGGACCCACTGTTTCTTGTTAGTTAAATAAAGGAGGAAAGCAGCATGAGTTAGTTATCATATTTTGGTTGTTCTGACAAAAGAAATTAAATATATCTGCAGAGACAACGACCACCCCCCAACAATTGTTACAGATATTCTGGAGAGAAAGATGGGTTCTGGAATATGGAAACAATATCACCTTTTCAGTTAAAACCTTGCAGTATGAAGATAAAGATAGAAATTTTTTTACTAGCAAATGAGATCTTAAAAAAGGAAAGCAATGTAGCCCAGTGTTGACTTAGAGTGGTTTTTGAGTTAACATTCAGTCTGCCAGAGAGTCTTAGAATTTGCTCCTTGGACTTTTAGATCTTCCATAAAAGTTTTCATTTTGCTCTCCAAGGCAGCAGTGCTTAGACATCATATTAAAGAATTAGCTAGGCTGGGGTAGAGTGCTTGCCTAGCACTTGTGAGGCACTGGGTTTGATTCTCAGCACTACATAAAAATAAATAAATTAAATAAAGGTATAAAAAAGAAAGAATTAGCAGATTGAGTTCAAGGGTGGCATTGAGAAGAATAAGACTTTTTAAAACTGATTCCATGTCAACCTAACAAAAGAGGTGAAAGACTTATACAATGAAAACTACGGAACCCTAAAGAGAGAAATAGAAGAAGATCTTAGAAGATGGAAAAATATACCCTATTCATGGATAGGCAGAACCAACATCATCAAAATGGCGATATTACCAAAAGTTCTCTATAGGTTTAATGCAATGCCAATCAAAATCCCAATGGCATTTCTTGTAGAAATAGATAAAGCAATCATGAAATTCATATGGAAAAATAAAAGACCCAGAATAGCAAAAACAACTCTAAGCAGGAAATGTGAATCAGGCGGTATAGCGATACCAGACTTCAAATTATACTACAGAGCAATAGTAACAAAAACAGCATGGTACTGGTACCAAAACAGGCAGGTGGACCAATGGTACAGAATAGAGGACACAGAAACCAATCCACAAAATTACAACTATCTTATATTTGATAAAGGGGCTAAAAGCATGCAATGGAGGAAGGATAGCATCTTCAACAAATGGTGCTGGGAAAACTGGAAATCCATATGCAACAAAATGAAACTGAATCCCTTTCTCTCGCCATGTACCAAAGTTAACTCAAAATGGATCAAGGAGCTTGATATCAAATCAGAGACACTGCGTCTGATAGAAGAAAAAGTTGGCTACGATCTACATACTGTGGGGTCAGGCTCCAAATTCCTCAATAGGACACCCATAGCACAAGAGTTAATAACTAGAATCAACAAATGGGACTTACTCAAACTAAAAAGATTTTTCTCAGCAAAAGAAACAATAAGAGAGGTAAATAGGGAGCCTACATCCTGGGAACAAATCTTTACTCCTCACACTTCAGATAGAGCCCTAATATACAGAGTATACAAAGAACTCAAAAAATTAAACAATAAGATAACAAATAACCCAATCAACAAATGGGCCAAGGACCTGAACAGACACTTCTCAGAGGAGGACATAAAATCAATCAACAAGTACATGAAAAAATGCTCACCATCTCTAGCAGTCAGAGAAATGCAAATCAAAACCACCCTAAGATACCATCTCACTCCAGTAAGATTGGCAGCCATTAGGAAGTCAAACAACAACAAGTGCTGGAGAGGATGTGGGGAAAAGGGTACACTTGTACATTGCTGGTGGGACTGCAAATTGGTGCGGCCAATTTGGAAAGCAGTATGGAGATTTCTTGGAAAGCTGGGAATGGAACCACCATTTCACCCAGCTATTCCCCTTCTTGGTCTATTCCCTAAAGACCTAAAAAGAGCATGCTACAGGGACACTGCTACATCGATGTTCATAGCAGCACAATTCACAATAGCAAGACTGTGGAACCAACCTAGATGCCCTTCAATAGACGAATGGATAAAAAAAATGTGGCATTTATACACAACGGAGTATTACTCTGCATTAAAAAATGACAAAATCATAGAATTTGCAGGGAAATGGATGGCATTAGAGCAGATTATGCTAAGTGAAGCTAGCCAATCCCTAAAAAACAGATGCCAAATGTCTTCTTTGATATAAGGAGAGTAACTAAGAACAGAGTAGGGACGAAGAGCATGAGAAGAAGATTAACATTAAACAGGGATGAGAGGTGGGAGGGAAAGGGAGAGAGAAGGGAAATTGCATGGAAATGGAAGGAGACCCTCAGGGTTATACAAAATTACATACAAGAGGAAGTGAGGGGAAAGGGAAAAAAAAAACAAGGGGGAGAAATGAATTACAGTAGATGGGGTAGAGAGAGAAGAGGGGAGGGGCGGGGAGGGAAGGGGGGATAGTAGGGGATAGGGAAGGCAGCAGAATACAACAGACACTAGTATGGCAATATGTAAATCAATGGATGTGTAACCGATGTAATTCTGCAATCTGTATACGGGGTAAAAATGGGAGTTCATAACCCACTTGAATCAAAGTGTGAAATATGATATGTAAAGAACTATGTAATGTTTTGAACAACCAACAATAAAAATTAAAAAAAAAACTGATTCCATGGATAAAGTTAATGAAATCAATGTATCTATTAAAATTGTATATAAAATATTGGGTGTTTTTCATTTTTTCTGGGTTTTCATAATATTCTCAAATATTACTCATATAAATGGTTAAGAATCTAGATTAATCCAACTGTTAATAGACAAATTGGAGATACCTCTTTTCTTTTTTTTAGGGCGGGTGAACTGGGGATTGAACTCAGGGGCACTTGACCACTGGCCACATCCCCAGCCCTATTTTGTATTATATTTAGAAACAGGGTCTCACTAAGTTGCTTAGTGCCTCACTTTTGCTGAGGCTGGCTTTGAACTCCTGATCCTCCTGCCTCAGCATCCTGAGCCACTGGGATTATTAAGAGGGACTAAATGGCTTTAGGTCAAATGAACAGTTAGCTTCAAAGTAAAAATAAATCTTTTAGATTGAAATTAGGTATTTAGACCCACTGCTAGATTTTATCATCCAGTAAGGTAATAAAGAAGCACATATATTACCATATCATGAATTTGTATTTTAAAAATATTTTGGTAAATATTTTAGTAAAATTTTATAATTCTATATATTTTATTTTGATGTAGCTGTGTCATTTTATCTTTTGTCACTTGTGCTTTTGCTATCATGCTCTAAGAAACTATTGCCTAACAAAAGTCCACGAAGATTTACTCCTATATTTCTCCTCTTTAAATGTTTGATATGATATAATTTTATTAAAATAGTGCATACATGCAAACAGATACATATATACATATAGGAAGAAAACAGTAGGATATTAGGGGAGGTTGTCTCTTGGTTGTGACTTGCAATGACTGTTATTTTTTCTTTCATTCATTTCTACATTTTCCAAAATATGCCCAATAACATGTATTCATTTATTTGTATCAGTTTAAAATTATTTTAAAATATAAGTTCCCATTTTGAATTAATTGTTGAAGGATCCTAAATAGTTTCTTAAATTTGCCTGGAACTGATTTGTTTCTGAAACCAGAATTCATCTTCAAAACAATTATTTCTAAATTCTTTGCTGCAGTTCTAGACCATTGATAGACTATCTTTTTGACTTGTCCAAATTAAGTGTGAAGTCGTTACCAAGAAATCCTGTAATCCCAGCAACTCGGGAGGCTGAGGCAGGAGGATCTTGAGTTCAAAGTCAGTCTCAGCAATTTACTAAGGCCCTAAGTAACTCATTGAGACCTTACATCTGAATAAAATATTAGAAGGGCTGGGGATGTGGCTCAGTGGTTAAGTGCCCTTGAGTTCAATCCCCAGTACCAAAAAAAAAAGGAGGGGGAATTTTAAGATGCTAATTGAAACACTTTGAAAAAGCTGAATTGTAACTGATGAATTCCAAACAGGGAAAAATGGCACCAGTTGAGGCATGAATGTAGATCAAGGACAGCTGGCGCAGAGACACAATGCTCATCTAAATTCCTGTG